TTACTGATTTTAAATTGTTTTGTTGTGAACCGCCCAGAGTCCCTCCTTGTGGGAGAGTTGGCGGTGATATAAATCTGACATATAAATAAATATAAAATAAATAAATTACTACCCAAAAGTATGTTTTCTTGCCAAACCCTGCATTATTCTTTTTTGTTATTCCAAACTGTGATCCCGCTGCCACTCCTTCACTGAATGGTTTTTTCTTTTCCCCAAGAATTTGGGAAATGATATGTAGCATGCCCACTTTCCCCATCAGCAACAGTGGGACTGGGTGCCCCTGTGATCAGAAAGGTTGAGCAGACCGAGTTTAGGAACAGACTCATAAAGTACCTTCCCTAATGGACAGTGATATTATTAACAACACAAACAGGTCAAGATTCCTCCAAAGGATCAGTCAACATCAACCAGCTATACCAGGGTTTCTCAACCTTATCAACTTTAAGATGTGTGGATTTCAATTCCCAGAATTCCCCAGCCAGCACTAGTTCTTAGACAGTATGACCACATGCATGAAGAATTACGCTTACATAATGGGATGAAAAAAACTAGATTTTTTGTAAATGTGGAGAAAGATGCAGTGTATCCAAATTACAAGGAACAAATAACAAAAACCTCTCCTACAACTAGAAAAACAAGTCTTAATGATATCCTTACATTTTTCATCCTCTTGTGCAAGTAGTTCTAGAAACTGTATAACCTGAAGACCAGTGTAAAAAGAAGATAATGAAATAAGAGGAAACAGCTTCATGTCAAATAACCTTGATTATTGATAATGTACATTCACTCATCTACGTGAGTTTATTAATTTTTTGCCAGCTGTACCTAGATGTGTGCAATGTAGTTGGACAGAGGAGGGAGCTCTGAATCAGTAGACTGAGAGATTTTTTTATAGCACAGAAATTCTCTTCGTGCCAGTGCCTCTCCCTGAACAATCTAAACGGATGGCTGAGTAAGTTGTTTTGCTAAAGGCAGGAATTTGCCCAGCTTGCACAGATGTTTGCAGCAAACAAAATAAAAGAGTCAGTACAAACATTCAGATCATCAGGTGATACAATAATGCAGCTGGGGAAGTCTTGTGTGAAAGTGCCACCAGGCTCTAAGTATTCTGTCTGAGGAATTAGAGATGTTGATGGAGTGCATTTTAAAAAAGCAATCCCGTCAAAGCAATCTGAGGTGGTTTTATTGGTGCCATAAACTTGTCTGTGGAAAGAACATACTTGATATTTATTCTCTTTTTCCAGAATGTACACCTACGGAACCTATCCTTTGTTCTGCTTTACACATACAACATTTTGGAAAGGGTTTTTTTTAAAGGATAGTTATTTTAGTGGGTCATTCTTGTTCTGCCAACTGGGGGTGGGGGGACTTCACAGACACTTTGATTTTTGCCATAATGCATATCGACCACATGGAATCAGAATGCCTAAAACCCACAGCAAATGAGGATTGTGAGACCCAATATTTAGTATAGGAGGCACCTGATTCCTGACAAAAAAAGTATCAGTGGAATTGGGATCAGTATTTAGAAATGTCAGCTGTAACAAACTTTGCATACCTCCCCTGAAGACAGGGTGAAGAGTCAGACTTGGAATGAATAGCAAGGCCTTTCACAGATGTCTATATACTGGACTGTGTAGTTCTTGACTGACACATTTAGGGCTGACAGCCTACTATAAAAGGAGAGCTTCAAAGAACAGAAAGCTGGCAGAGGTTGATACTTGTCTCTGTACCATTTTTCATCTCCACCTAGTTCCTAACCCACAATAACTAACCATGGATGATATTTACAAGGCAGCAGTAAGTAAAATTTTCACACCCTATTGTATTAAATCTCAGGCAGGCTCTGAATAAACATGTTTAGGATTGTATGGAAAATGTCTTAATGAGGTGGGAGCCTTGATATTCAGTCTGATCCCATAAATGTTTTTTACATGTTATGATATTCATGGATGCTAAATCTAATTAGAATGTTCCTTTTTAATTTGGTTTAGGGGATTGTTGTATAGCCTAGATATCGCAAGATGGTTTTAATGAAGTCTTAACTGGTTGTATTTTCTGGGGAAGTTCAAGAATGCATTGCAGTCCAATTCTAGCCAGAACTAACAATAATGTAAAGCTCATGGCTTTGAATGATTTTAGCATAATTGTTTGCTACATAGGATTGGACTGTTAAATATAAATGCAAATCTACTTTTTATTTTTACACACAACGTATTTTGCAGAAAATGCAATAGCATCCTGTCATTTTAACTTTTCTATTAAAATACATTTTTCCAGATTTTCCTCTGACAAACTCAAAAATTAGTTTCATGTATAGATGCGTATATGTCACCAGAGTTTGTAAAATGTAAGTATAAGTGTGTTTAATGAAAAATGGGTCACCTGAATCCTGGCTGCTTAAAACTACTTCAGGAGATTTAGACCACTTATGAGTTTAAGTAAGAACGTAAATCAAAAAAATAATTGGAGAACCTAGTGATGATAATAGAAATATCCTCACTAATTCCACTTTAAGTGTGGGTAGAAGAACAGATCTTGTTATATCTGTGGAGTAACTGGATAGATGCGCTTCTTCGGTTAAGATTCTTCTTAAGAAACTCTAATAAGACAGATGGGAGAAGAGCAATTCCTGCCTTGAGTGCATCCTGGTGAGTGCTCAGCTCCCCAAAGTAGCCTTAAACAGCTGCTGTGTGCTGTAAATAATTCTCCACAGCAAAAGAATACTTCAGTAGTGGACACATTTCAGTTTAAAATATAGAAGATTCCTTTTTAATATTTATTTTTTAAAAAATATTCAAGACCCTATCTTATAGCTTGGCAGTATCCTCTTGATTCTGGCTGCTTTGCTTTGGGTACAGTGAAAAAAGAGCTGGAACTCACAAATCATTAGGACTCAACTTGAAGTTACTGAATTGTTGTGTCCATCTTTTAAGAACAGCGTAACAAGCTCAAAATTATTTGAGGAAATGTATTATTAGTAATATTCATTGTAATTTTTAAATGTTTAGTATAATAAAGTACTTTATCTGTTATTTCTTACTTTCTTGTAATGGTAAATAAATCCTTGGTGTTCTCATACAATAGAATAAAAAGAGTGTTTTCCAGTTTACCAGTGTTTTCAGAAGTTAACTTCTTGAATTCCCAATTTTGGGCTCCTTAGGAGCAAAAGATTCCTTTAGCTTAAGCCTAGAGTGAAGTTGCCTTGAGTTACTTACTTATTATGTACCAGTGGTATCTCACTTACTTATATGCCATTTGATTGTCACAATTATGAAGATTAAGCAAAGTTAAGAGCTGTGATTTGTCAAAACCTACCCAGTATGCTTTACCACTGTGTGCAAATGTGAATCCAACGTCTTTTGCCTGAGTCTCTTGCCATGACACCACATGAAGTGTGTCATATCTGAAAGGGCCACCCAGAAATGAAAGAACAAGATGTTCTTCCTGCATTTATTGATAGTTTTAGATGTATATTGAATGATCATTTGAAAAGACAACCACTCATATGTATCTGTGGAATCCAGTGGATTTATCACTTTCCCACTCACATTTCTTATGCAGAGCTAAGTTTAGAATGGCTTCCAGATGCTTCTGAATCTTACAAAGGACTTTGCCGGAGACATGGGACTAGATTAACGCCTCCTATGATAAATGCCAATGTCAGGCAGCTTCTGGGAACAATCAGAAGTGTTATCTGTCTTCTTAGCACCTAAGTCACTAGAGCATAAAAATAGCCAGCTTGCCAAAATAGTCAAGTTATGTGGGTTGCACAACAGAGAGGCATTTGCTGTCTTCAGAAGCTTCAGCTATCCTGGGCTGTTGAGGGGAGAGGGTGGTTTCTTTTTTTTTTTGGCCATTACAATGAAAGAACAATCACAGCTGCTCCAGTTCCATCACAGTGGCTTAAATAAATGGGTTCAGTTTTCACTATGAAATTTTGAAGAGGCATCTTCCTGCTTTTGTTATCTCACCAGTGCAGGCTGTGCAATGTCTGCTGGTGCTGCCGCTCCTCCTCCATCACTCATTTTGTAAGGTCTTCCCTTTAAACCAATTAGGTGGTTTGGGTAAAAGCAGGTAGCAATGGATTGGCGCATAAGCAAAAACTAAATCTAAAAGAACTGGGTCTTCATGAGAGCCGCAAAGGAGGAAAGGGAGCTAAATAAAAGGTAGGAACCACTTTCATGCCCAGAATGCTCCATGTTACCCTATCAATATTTGAAACAAAGACCTCCGTGGAAAGCATCTGCAAGCCTTTATGGGGAAAATGGTCCTTGAACTACTGTTGTTCTTAGACCTTAGACATCTTTCTTATGTCTAGGTCTTTGTCAGTTAAAATTAGCATACTGACATGTATTTAGGAATGAGTAGTTATCTAGTACAGCTGATATCAAAAGCTCTGTATTCTATTCCCATAAAAGCTGAGTCATGAACTAATGGACATTTCTAAGTGATCTTACCAGACTTCCTTGAATAAGATGCATTACAACAGTCAAAAGAAATAGTGATTAAGACACAGATCTTTATAGTCAGGTGAAAAGTTTCTAAATGAATTTCTATAGTGCAGCACATTTAACTGGAAAATTAAAATCTCTGATAGTAGCTGTGACCTATAAAACTAAAGCTGGGCTGGTATTCAGTATGAAGTTTTGGAGGAAGTCAGCTCCTTCACATACCAGCTGAAACTCTTTCTACTGAAAATACAATATTCTGTCTTGTACAGTCTGTTTCTAACATCAAGCACTGGTGTAGGGTATCTCTCATTTTGTCCAGGTTTTTAGAGAGAGAACAAAATAGATATCTGAATCCAAACTCTGGACAACTTCTACCAGTCATTTGAAGTAGATGCTAAAAACAAAGGCTGCCCTTGCATACTTTGAAAATTATTTGGAAGAAGTGCTTCAGATCTTGTGCCAGCATGACCAGAGCACCTGCCTGCTGTTCATTAAAGCACACATGATTTTTATTTTTTCAGGCGTCTACAGAGACCTAGCAAAAGAAATAGTTGCTATAAGAGTCACACTAAAGAAACACTTCAATGATTTGACTCAGTGAAACAGCAGCAGAATCTTTCTTCATGATTGGGCAAGATCTGAAGCACTTCTTCCAAATCAGTTTCAAAGCATGAAGAGCCCTGTTAAAAATAGTGGGAACAGGATGATATCTAGAGAAACCCCAGACACCAAGACTAATGGGGCTAAATAAATGTTTTCCCAGGAAACACTGCAGGCATCACAAAATAGGGCCTCTAATGCTCAACTCAGAAAGATCTTGAAAGCTACAGTTGTTAGTAACAACCTCTTTGAAGGCAACAGTACCAGCAATAATACTTCCCAAACAGGAATTGACAATCAAATCCATTCCAGCCCAGTGATCAAGTGAGACCAAAATGGGATTAGGAAATCAGTAGCATCTTGGCAAACTTGGAGCTGAGGCATAATCATCCATGTCAACAACATCTTGCCCCAATTTGGAAGGAGGGAGATCTTTCACCCTGTATGACAATGGTTTCCATCACATGATGAAATGTATGGTCTCTCAGAGTCATATTCTAATGTAGTATAATAGGAATTATAATTTAATTTGAGAATTGGAAGGATATTTTAAAACACACAGTTAGGAATTACATCACAGACAGAAAATGTATATACATTTCTAGATTTGACCTTTTATTATATCCTGTTTTCCTTCCTCCTGCCTTCCAGGATTTGCTTCACCCTGCCTGATAACCATGCTGGATATCTGGTTTGCAGCTCTGTCAATTGTACAGACTCCCCCCCCCCCGCCAAATTCGAGTCCCTCAGCATTTTGCTCAAGAGATAAAATTGTTATCCATTTATCAATACCTAATTTTCAGCTGGAAGTAGCAAGCCAGGTTGGATGGAATCTATTTAAGTTGTTTCCCTGCGAAGAAGATATAATAATATCTTGAATTTGAGTCAACTTTTGCTTCCTCTATAGAGTGTATAGAAGGAAATCCCTGCCTGTCTTAACTGGCAGTCATGCTCATGAATTGAGTAGCTGAAATCAGCCATTTTGCATTTGATCATATAATTTTATGTAACATTATCTTCATAGGAATACATTGTTATTGTTAATTATTTACTTAAAAGTGACCTTGTATGTTCAGATCTGGGTAGATTTTGAAATGTTGTACCTCCTTCCATGCTATTGCCCCTGGGCTTCTCCATCAACAGTTTGAAGATCAATTTATCTGTTCAAATGTTTGTCTGTAGATCTGTATGTTCCTGGTTCAAGGCAGCTGAGTGCACAAAAAACCCAAGTTGGCAAAGTGCTGAGTCAGTATGCCAGTCAGAACTTTTCCCTCTTCGATAATTAGGGCTGCAGTCCTATATACCATCCTACTTGGAGTAAATTCCACTAAACTCAATGGCACGTAGCATTGCACTGGAAGCACCTTACTGCTTTGTCGATTCAGAAGTTACATCTGCGACATGTGAATGTCATCCTGTAATAAAGCTGGACAGCTAAAGTTGATTGCACAGAGAAGAAATGTGTATTTTAATGCCGTCTAATTTGTTGGTTTTAGAATAATTAAACGAACGTATCTGTATATTTGATCCTGTATGTGTGTTTAAAAAACCTTTTAAGTAAAAACAAATGGAGTTTTATTCACTGTAAACAGCCAGTACTAATTGCAGCTATTCGTTTGTTGAATGGTTCAATCTCTGAGTTGTTCCAGATGAGACCTCATTCACAAAATTTTATGGAGTGTCCATGTGACATTATCCTCTCTTTAGAACCCTTGAACACTATCCCACAATTTCATCCCTCCCACTTTTTTCCCCCTCACCAAAGACATTTCACTTAGGGAAGGGAAAAGGAAAAGCCTTGCCATGCCTTTTGATAGGCAGTGTTAGGAGCTCTCCCCCTGGAAGCAGCCAGGGAAGCTAAGCAAAGGTGCTACTTAAATTAAGCCACCACCCGTTCTGACTAAAATTTGTCAGGGTAGCTGTACCTTTGCTTGTGCATGCAAAGCACAATCTCTGTCAGACACACTTTGACAATTTTGTGGAAAACACTGTTCTCAGTTCAGGATTTGCTCAAGGTAATCTCACAGAATATATTCCAGTGTTGCAATTATGGAGTCTAAGATTTCAATGAACAGAACTATGTGTTTCTGAGATGAAGTTAATTGGTGTCTTGCGGCAATGAAACTCAAGGACTTACAAAGGGCAATTAACAGCTAGGATTATGTACTAATATTATAAGGACAGGTGAATGGGTAGACATGTCTAATTTTTATTTTGCCCTAAAGGCAAGACAAATTATTAATAGAAATAAGTAATGTAAAGGAGTTAGCACAGAACTAGTTTTTGATTAAAGGATGTGTAGAAGTAAATGAAAAGATACTACACACTATTTTATGCTCCTTAGAACAGAAAGCATGCTTTGGGATGAAATCTGTAAGAATATCAGATCACTTAGGTTTTTTTTAGTCAATATCTTGTACAAAAAATTAAAATAATAAAGTGCAACCTTTTAAAGCCCAAATTCACTTCAGTTTTTTTATGAGCATAACTGCTTCTGATATTATTTACAGAATCTACCATCTGAAATTCAATTTTAGCTGAATTTTACTCTAAAAGTAAGCATTTCGGCCAATTGGAAGATAGTTGTCTGCAATATTTGGTTACATAATCACTTCATCAAAAGTCAATGATTTGGGTATATTGAATTGGATTTACAAATTGGTGAGCACCATTTAGTTTCCCTAGTTCCAGAAATAAGCTGAATCAAGACATTGTGGCAATTTAACACAATTCAGAAGATTGCTTCAGAATTCCAAATTCTATTTTAAAAAATCAACCTATTGAATTCAATAGGTTGATTTTTTTTGATAGAACATATAATAAATATATTGTATGACTCATCATTTAATGTCATGAAAGATGTTCACCAAATCCATATTTAGAGTTTGATATGTGATTGTAATTTGTACACTAGTATATATTGCCACAAAGTGTGCATTTTCTTTGTGTATCTGTTTCTTTGTTGCTTTGAGCTACATTCTAGAGATTAAATGCCTACACAGCTTATCAATGTGAGAACTGCTAAATACAAAAACAAATATTCATCAGTGAAATCTTTATTTTAATAGGTTGAGCAATTGACAGATGAACAAAAAAATGGTAAGTATATAAATTTTATTATTCCAATTATCTCACAAAGAGTCCACCTCTAACTGAAACAAAAATCTTGAGAATCACTGAAAAAGAGCCATCAGCAATGAAAATCAATCAATGTTCAAAATGAATGTGCTTATTTTAAAAAGTACATCCTGATTTTTTTTAAAAAAATACAGAGTAACTTAAGAGTAGCTTCTACAAAAGTTTATAAAATATGTAAAACCCAACAGAAACAGTTCATCTTACATTAAAATAGGTCAAATCCCTTAAATCTGTTTCATTCCATGAATAAACTATGAAAAAAGGAAGAAAATGCTTTACATGATACTAAAATGTCAGTCTTAGCAACTGATCTAAAACAAGGCAGTCTGATTGTTTTTAAAACTGAGAGACCTAAGAACACTCATTTATTCTCCCCTGTCTCTTAGTCATTTATTCTTACCGCATCATAATCTGATGTTCTCTGTTCCTTTTTTCCCATAGAAATGAATGTCTCAGTAAACATGAGAGGGTAGGGAATCCCAAAATATTAAAATAATTCTTAGAATTGTATTTTAATTGATTGTTTTTTGTTGATTCACCCAAATGGGCTCCCTCCTCCATTGCCCACATTGCTGTCTCCATTGGGAGTCATTACAAGAAAGGCCCTGGTTTGCACTTCAGCCAATTATGCTTGTGAAAGTGAAGGAAGCCATAGCAGCGCCTCTGATGAATGTGACCCTATAAGTATTGTTGAGAGGGAAAAGTTTGCATTAGTAAATTAGAGTAAGAATTATCAACTAATCTTCAACATGTCTGGCCTATACAGCATGTTTGTTTACTAAGTTTAATAGAGGTTGTTGATTAGTAAATTCCATTAGTTCTTCCAGTTTAGCTGATTCCATTTATGCCTGAGAGACCATCAATCTGGTATTATATGAAACAAAGAGTAGAACACTACTGAGTTGGGCCCTTCCCCGTTGGTACCTAACCATCACGGCACAAACATGCCTTGGCAACATCTTTTTCTGCTGTACCTCAACACATCCCTAGCCTGTGGGTGAGACAGCCTTAAGTCAGCCTTAGCTGTACTGGGGTAATATAGTGATCTGACCCTTAAACTAGGGCATTTAACAGTGGCTGCAAGGAATGTAGAATCTGACATGCTTCCCCACTCATTCCACTGATGTTGATGTCAGATGGCCAAACACTCGTTGGCCATTTCAGGCTGATGCAAGCATATCCCCCTTTCTCCAGTTCCCAAGCCACTGCCTCTGCCTCCACTGCTTTTCTCTCCAAAAACTTAGGCACAATTTGACCTGTAAAACCCATTCTAGAAGCATGGGGGAGGGACTGCTTTTCTGCTTTGGCAGGGTATTTTGGCCAGTAGCGGGTTGTACTTCAGTAGGGACTTCTGCCATGTGTGAAATGGGGCTGCCATTGTAGGAATCAGATTTGCTTAGTTTCAGAGTTGTACACAGCACCAGAGAAGCACTCTCTTGCTTTGCTGCATTTATTTATCTGATTTCTAAGACTGCCCAATTGCAAAATGTCCCCAACCTCTGAATGAGAGGAAATTAGACTTTGCATTTTTTTTGTAGGTGTGGTTTTGTAGGTGTGGGAGAGAGGGGCTTCACTTCTTTCATGATCCCATTCATTTCCCAGTTTTTAGTCATTATTTATCAAGAGAAAGAGCACGTAGCTCACAGTTATCAGTCCTCGCTCATTCCTGCATCTCTGTCACGATGTCTGGATGTTTTCCCACTGGCTGGTGCCATTTGAAAGTTAAGCGAGGCTGGAGAAATCAAACAATTGCTTTGCTTAGCGTGTCCTGTAGGTACATAATCACCATACAACAATTCAGTAAAGGGTCAGAACAGATGCATTCAAGGCACAGTAGAAATCAACAACTGGAGCAGCAAATTCCATGCTGGTATAGTTTTTGGCCAAATTGTGGATGGGGACAGTTCAGTTCAGCAGTGGGGAAAGGCCTTGAAGTAGCTGAAACATCTAACCTGCTCTAGATTTGGTCTTGAGGTATCACACTCTTAAATTCATTGGTTTTGCTTCTCTTTCTCCAGAATTCAAAGCTGCTTTTGATATATTTGTCCTGGGTGCAGAGGATGGATGTATCAGCACAAAGGAGTTGGGGAAGGTAATGCGCATGCTGGGACAGAATCCTACCCCTGAGGAGCTACAGGAGATGATTGATGAAGTAGATGAAGATGGTGAGAAATTTCTGCTGGGTGTTTATATAGGGCTTTAAGTTTAGATTTGTTTTATCATGTTTTGAAATCTAACCTAATGTGGAAAATAGTTCAGACAGAGGGAAAGTTAGCTTTGTTGCTCTTTTTTCCTTGACAGGCAGTGGTACAGTAGATTTTGATGAGTTCTTAGTTATGATGGTCCGGTGTATGAAAGATGACAGCAAAGGAAAATCAGAAGAGGAACTTTCAGATCTCTTCAGAATGTTTGATAAGTAAGTGCCTCTATTAGCATTCATCAAAGTCTAAGAGAATGATCAGGTTGAATCTGCATGAGTTTCATACTAATAACATGAGTAAGATTGAAAACTTCACAGTCATGGCTAAATTAGAAATACAGGTACTTGTTTAGTGACCACAATTGGGACCAGCAACTCAGTCATTAAGCAAAGCAGTCACTAAATGAAACCACGACTGTGCTTATGATCTTACTTCAGCTTTCCTTTGCTTTACAGAGCTGCAAAGGTCATAAATGCAAACTGTATTTAATTTCTGATATGAAAATAAAGCTGTTTAACACAGACATTTATTAGTAATCATGAAATCAGTATATCCTTTACATAGAAAAGAATTCTTATGTAATATAAAGCTTCTTGTCCTCACTGTCCCACTTTTTTCATAAATAATCATACAAGAATGGATAACATTTTTAATAATGTTAACAATAATAAAATTTATTATTGAAGGCTTCATGCCAATGATGGAAATGGGGACTGAAACACGCTATGGGCAGGATTTGTTCCAGAAGTGGGTAAAGCCGTTCATTCTCTCCCCCCTCTTTTTTTCTGCCCCCTTTTCCTAGAATAGTTCTCCCTGATATATTTGTGACACACAGTCCTCTTTCTTTCACACAACAGCCAGGCAGGAGGGAAGGGATAAAGGGGTGTTACAGAAAACCTGTCTGACTGGAGGGCAACATAATCTGCAATATTTTTTGCCTTCTTGAAATCTGTTTCAATGAAGCATAGATGAAGGAACCGTGTGTGGAAGGGGCTACTTCCTACCAAGCCATGGGAAAGAAAAAAAACATATCATTAGAATGTGATTCTTTTCATACATGAATGAGCAACCCTTCACTCTGGGTTCAGACCTGTTTTTGGGATAGAATCATCCTTTGGCCTGCTAAATGTTCACCTGTGAGAGGAAGACATAGGGGTATGTTTGTGTCGATTTTGCTTGATCTCCCAACAGCCTTCAGTACTGTCAACTATAGTATTCTCCTGTAGTTACATTAATTCCACTCCTATTTGCAGGGACAGTCTCAGAGAGTAGATTAGGTGACTCTGCCTCTGTCAGCTATGTTGTGGAGTGTCATAAAGCCCTCTTTTGTCTTTGGAGCCATTTAACATTTATAAGAACTGCTTTGGAATGGCCATTAGCAGATTGGGAATGAAGTATCATCAATATACAAATCAGCTCAACTTTTCCATATCTGACTCAGAGGAGAAAGGGCATGTTCTGAAACACTTTTGAAACCAGTGATGGAATGTTTAGGGCCAATAAATGTTGAGGCTGAATCTTGAGAAGATGAAGATGGAAATCTAGTGGGCAGTTAGTTCCTGGGAACAGAAATGAGGGAATCTTCCTGTTCTAAATGGGACTATGCTCCCTTAGAAAGACTATGTTTGGAGGTGCTCCTAGAATCATCACTACTCTTGAAGACTTAAGTTACCTCTGTGGCCAGGATTGGTGGTTCAGTTGATATATCAATGATGTTCTTTGCTACTAATTGTTTATGTATACGGCTATATTTATGTACTGGTAACCTCATAATTAGGTTACTATAATGTCCTCTATCTTTGTGCTCAATCTGGAAACTGCAACTAGTTCAGAATTTAATGGCCAGGTTGCTGAGTCAAGCACATATTCCACCTCTGCTGAAGTAACTGCAGAGGTGAAGTATCGGTCAACCCTGTTGTAAGTTTCATTTTTAACATCTAAGATCCTGAACAATTTGGGCCAGGTTACCTTTACTTTTATAGAACTGGTTGATTCCTAGGAGTTCCTGCTGCATATGCAGTATTTTTTTTTCTTTTTTACTTCCTCATGGGTAGGCATTCTTTGTGGTAACAACTGCATTCCAGAACTCTCTCTCTCTGTCAGCCTTGCAAGGTAGTCCAGACAGGAAGCACACTCAGATGAAATAATTCTACTTTATTGTAAAGTTACAACAACAGAATACAGCAAGTCTGAAAGTACATTTCTCCCCCATCATCCTTACAGCCCAAGAAACTA